ACGAGAAAAACACGTTTTTTCAACCTATGCAGCCTTGAAAATAGTCGAACGACCATCTTTAAAAAGACATCGCCTAGAAGCCAAGAGGGATGCCTTTCTGGCGTCTTCAATTAAGTAAGGGCGACTCATTTCCTTCTGGTACCAAAAATTCCGCCAAGCGCTCAAAAATTATACGACTTTTACGCTTTTATTACGATTTGGAAAAGGAAGTTAGTAGGATGCAGTCAATAAATGACAACTTTACATCAATCCAACAAAACTGTGTAATCGATTTCCTGTAATCTAAAGAACATTTATTCAATTTTATTTAATGTAATTCAGCAAGGGAGAAATTCATGTCTGCCTGAATCATGGCTGCATCCTAACTAAATTACAACAAAGTCACACTCCATAAGAAAGTGAACCTCAGACCAGCAATATTGATTATGTTCACCTGTCTCAAGAGTAAGACATAGATGAGAGATGATATGATCATCTCCAAAGCTAATTCTATGGGGAACAAGCGTTGGAAAAATAATAAGTTCCAGCAAGATCTTCAGCATTGAACTGACGCTAGGAAAAGAGTCGGCCGGACGCCAAAGGTGTCACTAAAGTGGGCGGACGTTTTTAATTTTCGCCAGTACATTACGAAACTTTATCTATCTCAAGATTAACCTCAATCCCCTCAATGAGGGGGTTTACTAATAGCGGTATCATCCAAAACAGGAAATTTCCAAGTGTTCGTGATCAGCTAACTTATTGGGGACTAATCCTACAGCCTATGCAAAGAGTGGACCACGCACACCGGCAGGTTTAAGGTGGCCTACAAAACAATCGTCATCTCACTGATCAGGTCGAGAGAAGAGACAAGGAAAGTGGAGGAGGGCCGGAGGGGGAGATTTTATGGTAAAAAACTCACCGTAAAGTTGGGATTCCTCTGCAAAAAGAGACGCTTGAGGCGTTTTATGGAGGATGACACAGTGTAGGTGATGTGCTGACAGTACTTGGGACTGGTGTAGAAGAGGATGTCAGTCAGTGTGTCGTTGGTGTAATGGCGTAGCTTTGGGATGCTACGCAGGGTGACACGCTTCAGCTGATTATTTATGCCAGTTGCTTCAGAGTGCAGAGCTGCGTGCCATTGTACCGGTAGGAATTCGACTCGCCCGGTGGCTGAGGGAAAGTGGCTGGTCACTAGAAGCTCGGCAGTCCGTCTGGTAAAAAAAAGAGGTTGAACATGAAAAATCAGGCAACTTTGGAATTCCTTCGAGTTCGGAGTAAGAAAATCAAAGTACCGGTTTGGCAACTGTCAACGGTAAATCCGTAGATCAGAGGTGAAAGCGAAATTATTCTTTTTTCGGGACATTCCGCCGTATGATTGAGCTACTGAGTTTGTCAGATAGTCTGGTGCCCATTTCTTGACCTTACTAATCTTATCGAGAAGCGGGACAAAATGACCCCGCGGAAACGAGGCCTGTCCATTAACCTTACGGTAGATCACTAGGTCCGTGCACAGATGATGATTAGTGGACATGCCCGTTGAGGTGGGGCAAGATGATAATTGTCAACCACTAGGTGGTTGCACTCGAATCCAGGGGGGGGCGATGTTTGAGTTGTGAGTACGCTTAGAAGTAGGGCCAGGCGTGTGCTTTGTTGGGCCAGCACGAGCGTTATTGGGGTTACGCACTCACAACAAATGTCATACATGGGGGGAGGGCTGTAATGGCAAGCCTAGGCGCAGTTTCACACCACGCCATCCACCTTCGCTCAACCTTGCTTCCAGTCTCCTTGACTTGGTCATGAAACCGGGTCCAGAAGGGCGAGAAAAGACATGGTGCAGTAGATGCTGCGCAGGTGTATAACAACTAAAGGCTTAATACTGGGGTGAGTCCCCGTAGCGTTACCCACTCCGTTGTGGACTACACGGTAGGCCTCGTCGTCGGATTCGACGATCAAACTGTCGTTAGTTGGGTTATCGTTAGGGTTTGAATTAAGATTCGGGTTAAAATTAGGACACTTGAATGGGTGACCCTCCTGGAATTTAGCGCTAGGCCACCTGTGGTACGGGGGTAATCATATCCAATCTGAATCATCAGCAACAGAGCGGACACTCGCCTATGACGAATAAACGAACACGAACCATGCAAGGCTAAAATGTGCAGGTTTTGCCAGACACTAAACAGTTAAATGGGCTGTCTAGGAAATGATCATAATCTATAACAATATTATGTCATAGTGGGCAGTGACCGTTACCCAACGAGGATTCCCTCGTCACCTTCCAGCACGATCTTGGAACATTGAACTGACAAGTCGCAGGGGTAGGTTGAAAAGTCCGCCTTTGAAGTTGGCAGTGGCATAAAATCATTTATTCACAAAGCCGCCGTGAAAAGTTCGACAAATATAGGTTCAATTTGATTTTTAGACGACTGGGGTCTTGGTCTGTGTAGCCTGACGGGATATATTGATCGTACCAATAAAGAGTTACTGTTTGCCGCCAGAAATATTAACCTGCGCCCAATGGATCAGCATCATGCGGAGGGATGAGCAAGGCATGACAATAAAAATTGGGGTCAAAATCAGCATTCTGAGAAAGGCGCTTCAATGCAGCTGGACAATATTTACTCAATGATATCATGAATCAAAAGACGTGTCGTCTAGGCCCTGCAGTCCCCAGCAGATTATTTCCGAAATCGTTACGGTCCGGGGTCTTGAGTCGACGTTTGTGTTATGAGTTCAACTGTTAGGAAGGTAAGTAAAGGTGTACAACAGATTCGTCCCTTTGTTACCTCCTATAAACGCCTTTCTGTTTACTGACTTGGACAAAGTCCTGAAATAGAGCAGTTTCAGGAGATTCACTTTAATCACTGTAATAGTAAGGGCGGAACGACGGAACGGAGACGCATTCTTTTTCCTGTATGGGTCATTTCACACTAGGTATTGAGGAATGGAGATTGTAGAGAACTTTATGCGGCGAAATTAGGCCTTTTAAACGGTGAACTAACATACAATGTTGAGGATAGTGAAATGTTTATCAATGCTAGGACATGGCAATATTCCTTCATAGGCTCGTGTGGGCAACAAGCCTAGGAAAAGAAATTTCCAATTTGACATTTAATTTAGAAATACAATAGTAAAGGATAACAAGGTAGGATAACAACGGAACTAACCGCATATCGTTGACACAATCAACAAGGCCCTCGCCGCGAAGGTTGAAGATGGAGCCGATTCCATGCACGACAAAAACTAAGTGCTCGACTGGACGCTGATCGCCTTCGGGAAGTTGGCTTGCCAGTTCGGCATGCAGGCCACGCTGTAGAAGACATAAATGGCTTGCTTCGTCGTAGCCCGATGAAGAGAAGGAGCTTTGGGGATCCGTAATGCCGTTCAGGAAGGGATAGGCGCGGTATTGGATCATCGACTAGTCGTGAGAAAATATGGCAATAAGGTACAATTAACCAAAAATTATAGGCTGTCTGGTAGTATTAGTAAACAAATCGGATAAACAGGATTTCTAAATTCAAACTGAGACCAGTTATGCACATTAAGATGATTTTTTGGCTGACAGTTTGCATGAATTAACGTGCCAACAGTTGCTCATAAGGGACACTGTGTAGACGTGAAGGTTTCTCGCTGAAATTTGGCCAACATTCCAAATGAGTAGAAGGGCGCGACTGTGCATACGCCAACCGTTAATGGACTCTATGAGTTGCACTTTATTTCCAGCAGCTTTATATATGTTCTTCGGGCACCTGTAAATCTTGTGTCCACAAGGGATAAATGTTCGGCCGAGATAAAGCTACAAATCGTTCAATCCAAAACTTCTAAGGACCACAGATGATCTCAATTCATAAGCAGTCACCAGAGCTGAGTATTTAAATAAGAGATAAAACAGTCGGTGAAAAAAATAATGATCAACTTTCAAGGACAGCGAAAAGAAGGATCTTCAAGGAAGGATGGAGGTGGAAATAACACAGGGGCGCATGCGCAGCAACTTCGCTCGCGGGATTAAAAAGAACGTATTTTGCGGACGGCCAAACGGTAACCAGCGACTGGGCTTTATAACCTCCCTCATGTGACCGCCCGTTTCTGTTAATAGCATTTGACATTCAGAGTTAACTAGTTAACTAATCGCCATGATCAAGGCATACTACCGCTCCACCACTGCGCGGGTTTTAGCTCATAACAACCTCCCAGAACCCTACACTATTCGGTCAGGCGCTCGGCAAGGCTGTGTCCTGTCGCCTATCCTCTTTAACTACGTCATTGACTGG